TGGCGAGTGCATGTGCCCTATAGCAAAAAAAAAAAGAAAAAAAAAAAAGAAAAAAAAAATCCTCTCTAAAAAAAGAAGATAAAAATTACTGTTACTAGAGCTGGCACGTGGTGAGGTGGTTGGGGCACTAGACCCCCATATGACTGACTGCCATTTGAGTCCCAGACCTGGTGACTTGCTTTCTCACTTTCCCTCTCTCTTTCTCTGTCTCTCTGGTCAAATTTCAAAACAATAATAATAAATTAAATTAAATACATAATTTAAAAACAAGAAAAACAAAGACAATAAAATTACTATTACTGGGCCAGCCAGTGGCACAGTGGTTATGGTGCTGGACTCCCATATGGCTGACCACAGTTCGAGTCCCAGACCTGGTAGCTTGCTTTCTCATTTTCCTTCTCTGTCTCTCTCTGGTCAAGTTTAAAAAAAATAATAATAATAAATAAAATTAAATAATTCTTTTAAAAAATCACTATTACTGAGACCAGTGGGTAGCATAATGGTTAAGGCACAAGGCTACCACATGGTCAACTGCAATTTGAGCCCCAGACCCGACAGCTTGAAACTCACACCAGGCGCGCGTGTGTGTGTGTGTGTGTGTGTGTGATTTCTCACTTTCTCTCTGGCAAACTCACTCACCCTATAGACAAAAATATAAATAAATGAAATTTACTATAACTTTATTTTTTTTTATTGCCAGTGGGCATGTGTGCTTGCTAGAGAGAGAGAGAGAGAAAACACCGTCCAGTGAGGCGTGGCCACACCCTCTCCTCCATTTCTCCCTCCTGTAGGGATTCAGGGTACACACACGTGCCCAGCATGCTTTTCAAGCTGTCAGGGCTGGTATTCAAATCATGGTTGGCATGTGAAATATGGCTCCCTTTGCTTTTGTTTTTCTTTTTCCTTTTATTTTTTAAGATTTTGCGATAAGGGCATGAGTGCTCTCTGGAAAGGGACAGACAGTGGGAGGGAAAGTGAGAAATCACCCCCAAGGGAGGATGGCCATGCTGCAGTCCCTTCTCTTCCATTCTCCTCCTGGGATTTCGGACATGTGTCCACACATGTCTGGTGTGGTTTTCAAGCCTCCAGGTCAGGGCTTGAACCGCGGTTGGCCATGTGGGAGTCCAGCACCTTAATCAATGTGCCACCTGCCGGCCCCAATGTGGCTCCTTTAGCTGTTTCCTTTTATTGCTGAATAAGACTCCATGGTATGGAAGGACCACATTTTGTTTCTCCACTCATTCATCTCTGGACATCTGAGGGGTTTGCTCTTTGACTTGTGAAGAGTGCTGCTGCGGATGTCTGACCACCTCTCTTCAGTTCTTCTGGGTCTATATCTAGAAGCTGAATCGCTGGGTCGCATGGTAACACCACGTTTAGCTTTCCAAGAACTTCGAGGTCGTTTTCCGCAGGAGCTGCATCAGTTCGCATTCTCACAGTAGTCTATAGGGATTTCATTTTTCCTTGTCTTTATGAACACTTACTTTCTGGTTTGTGAAAATTGTGGTAAATTAT